TTTAGGGTTTAGAGTTTAGGGGTACTGGTAGCATAACCCGTTACTTGCATTGCCGGGTAGTTTTGAATCAGTTCTGAACGAGGTTTCCCTTGCCAGAGCACCACTTCTCATGAGATCTCATGCTAACAACGACCCGAAATGTGACCAGAGCTCACAAGCTATCTTGCTACTTAGACGGGCTACTAAGATGTGGCTGCTCTATACATGGGTATCTGTGAGTCTGTAAGAACAGCTGGGACACAAAACCTGCATAGTGCTGGTGCAGCTAGCAAAGGCACTGGCACTGGCTGTCTGATTGCAACCACCCATGCAAAGGTTTCGGTGCTACGAAACTACGCGTGATTTGGTAGCTCTCTGAATTAGGGTCCCTATTTTGGGTCCCCCAAACAGTACGGCACCCTTTTATACGAAGGACCCTAGAAGGGACCCTAATTTAGAGAACTACCCATACCTTAAGGACGAAATGACCCCTACAAGGGATTAGGGTTCATATACCACATAGGGATTCATAGTATAAGGGTATAGGGCCCCTACTTTTAACGGTTATGTCGTCCTTAAGGTATGTCTACCGGGACGCACAGACCGTGGTTCTACACCGTGTGCCGCCCCTCGTCTTAGGGTTGCTGGGTGCGAAGTAGCCGGCTTATCTTTAGGGGCTTGCAGGGTAGGTACTCCGTATCTCGGGATTTATCTTTTACACTGGCGAAGAAAACCTGCGGTGCAAATGCGAATCTTATGGAGACCAGACCCTTTCTCCAGTCGGGATTCATGAGGTTGGACGGGCTGCAACGGAACGCTAAACAAAGTTTGCTCTGCAGTCGCTCCAGAATGACATGCCTATAGCAGACCCTTGCTATGACTTTGCATCAGGCAGCGCTCTGAGTTCAAAAATCTGAGCCCTAGACGAATTACTATATATGGGTACTTCTCTAAATTGGGGGTTCCTTTAGGTCCCCACAGCAGGACGGCACCCTTATAAAAAGAACACTTAAAAAAGGCCCCAATTTAGAGAACTTCCCAACATGCCCTTTCTGTCTGTAGGCCGCTAGTGAAACATGCCCTGAACCCCGAAAGCACCCAGCCTCTCGGCATCAAGACCTCGACTTTTGCCTCGCTGCAACGTAACAACAAGGGCGACTGGGTGTTAGGCATGAGCGCGAGTACTCTAAGTTCTCACGGACATGATTCCGGACTCCCCATAGGCCCTAAAGTAGTTCCTTTTTGGGGGTTCATATATAGAATCCTATAAGGTAACCCCAAAAAGGAACTACCCCCCTAAACCCTAAACCCTAAACCCGAAACTATGGGGCCTATGGGTATTCCGTGGGTTTTCTAAGGAAAGCGAAGGCGATCTGGACAAAACTGATCTAAGCACGAGGTCCTCCGCGCTGCGCCGATGTCTCCATCTTCTAGAAACCAGGACTAGGGTTTAGGGTTTAGGGTTTAGGGTTTAGGGTTTAGGGTTTAGGGGTTTAGGGGTTTAGGGGTTTAGGGGTTTAGAGGTTTAGGGTTTAGGGTTTGATGCTTCTGAGCCGCGTCCAATTTGGATGGACGTGAAGGCCTGCCGCAAGAAGGGAGGCCCTCATGCCTTGTCTGAATCATAAAAGCCGCAGAGCAATAAGCCCCAAAACCCTAAACCCTGAACCCTAAACCCCAAACCCTAAACGCCAAACCCAAACCTTAGCCAAAACTGACCCTGAACCAATCAGTGAAACATCATCCAGAATCCTATCTGCAATATGGTCGGTTGCCAATACCCGCTACAGCAAAAGTAACTACCGAAGCATGCATACATGACATGAGCCACAGCCAATGTCCGAGACATGCGCATATGCACCAGGATATCAGTATACAACATCGGTCTGAGGCGAGTGAGGATTAATTACTCTCCTACAATCGTTTCTGCGATTTTTTGCTATTACAGCTAGTACGAAAACGAACGACTACTGTGATTCCAGATCATGGCAAACAAGTGCTGTTGATCTAAACCCTAAACCCTAAACCCTTAACCCTTAACCCGAATAGTCCTGCATCACATCCGGGAAGCAGCGGAGGCCGGACGTCAGCAACGGGACGATTCCGGTGCCTTCATCGTCCTCGTCCTCACGCGATGGTTTAGTAGGGTTTAGGGTTTAGGGTTTAGGATTTAGGGGCGATTTTGGGGCGGGGGGGGTTAGGGTTTAGGGCTTGGGGCTGCGATGATTTAGGTTGGTTTAGGGGTTAATGCGAATCCTGAGTTTCGGTTTGGTAGAAATTCCATGCATTCACCATTCACCAAGGCCAGTCAGCTTGCCACTGCTGCGAATCGAGCCATGTTTACACGAATCAGGAAGCTTGATCTCACAAAGAACTTCACCCGCATGTCCTGCGCGCACCAGTGGGCACCTGCACACAGGCCACAGGTAGTGAGGTCAGGTAGAAGCTGCACCATGCACTGAATGCAGAACGAACCACCTCCATCACCAGTCAATGGAACCTTGACCCATTCTGACACGTGCACGCTGTGGCCGCACTTTTGCAGAATCTCAGAAGCCCGACACAGATGTCTCGAGGCAGAAAGATGTAAGAGTTCTACGCCAGCAGAGCCCCAAAACCAAAACGCAGTATGCCGCACCCACCTAGCTCTAGGCAGTCTCCTTCGTCCTCACTCGCAGAGTCCTTAGGCCAATACTTGGGGCTTAGTGCGTCTGTAAGCTACGACTGAGTTTCGATTGCGTGGTTGCCATGGCATGTACAAAAGTGAAGGGACCGAGTATGGGGCATGCATGCACGTTTGCGATTGCGGCTCGGTACTGGGCATGTCATTATCCTGGCAGCCAGGTTTACAGCTCCCCTCCGAGGTTGACTTCCTAAAATGCCAAAATTAATATGCTTGCAATCCTGAGGCATTGGGAGGCAGGAAAAAACACTTGGCAAACCTTGTGGTTTTGAGGTCCCATGATGGAATTGCAGGTCTTTCAAGCAACGAGCTGTGGGTCATTCAAGATGTTTCTCCATCTCTCCAATGATTTCTTGCGCCATCCTGGGTTTAGCCTTTAGGGTTTAGGGCAGTATGTGTCCAACCCAAACAGGTGCAGCTACGACATGCTCCCCTAAGGCCCCGAAATATCACAAGACACGAACTCTCAAGCCTAGACCTTAAACCCCTCCCAAGCACCCCACAATCCGATATTGAAACCACTCAATCGAAGCCCGAAACCATCCCAGACCAGGAAGCCTGCACCCTTTGATAAAGGAACCCTTTCAAGGAAAGCTTACTCAAAAAAGCCGTAAAGGAACCCCAAAAAGAACCTCTGAACGCACCCGAAAGGAGCCCTTTAAACCCTAAACCCTAAACTCCTCTGAAGGCACCCGAAAGGAGCCCTTTAAGGGCTTCAGGTTCCGCGCCTCAGGGAGATCGCAAAAGCGGAACTCGGAGGGCTTTCGCTCTTGGCTGGTCTTCGGCCGCGGCGGATCCTTCAGGGTCTAAGGTGTAGGGGCAAGCTACCTATTTTGGGGGCCTTAATAATCGGAATAAGGTTTTGGGGCCCAGTATACTGCAATTATAACCAGGAACCCCTAAAAAAATTATAGGTAATTATTGAGGCCCCTACATTTTACCCTAAACCCCCAACCCCATAGCCCATCAATAAACCAAGTGTAGAACACTATGCTGCCCAAACCCCCAAACCGCCAAAACGAGCCCCACATCCTCAACTCCCTGCTCCAAGCCCTACACCCAAACAAGGCCCAGCATGAACCCTAAACCCTAAACCCGATTAGGGCCTTTTTGCCTCCTACTTAGCAAAAATAGTAGGGTTTAGGGTTTAGGGTAACCCTAAACCCCATTAGGGTTTAGGGTTTAGGCCCACGATGAACCCAAGAAGCGCCTTTCCGGGAGGCGGCTTTGGCGGAGCGCGGGCCTCAAGTGGGGCGGCTTATGATCTAGGGGTCCGAATTTGTAAACCAGCATGGCTATATATATATATATATGTATATATATATATATATATTATATTATATATAGAGTCTTTTTTTAACAGACTCTAATTCCTAAATGCTATCTGAGACTATGGCTAGGGCTAAGGCTTGTGGCAAGGGTTGTCCTAAGTGTTTTAGAAACTTGTTCCAAGAGGTTTTAGGGTATAGGGGCCACCCTATCGGCAGAATACGGGTGAGGGCTAGCAGCGAATCATGTAAGAAGCAACGCTTTTGTATGAAGGTTGAACTTATGGTGGCTGAACATTGCTGATTCGAGTCACCTTGACTCCACGCTGACACTGTACGATCGGAAGCCAAACCCTGAAACAGGCACAGCATGCATTCTCCTGCCTGGGGCTTCGCCTCCTTCTTCGCCTGAATTTCGAAGCACTGACAGTCTCAAGTCCTACTAAAAAATCGCTTTGGGGCTCGTTCTATTTAGATGGCGGCAATGGACAGGAAACGTCGTAGAATGAAGGAGCCGTGCCTCAGACACCCCTGCACTCGCACCCACTTCGAAAGATGAACCAAAGGGGGCTTCGCACTTGCAAGCCCCAAACCACTGCGCAAGCTAAAATCTTTGCACCTCCAAAGACGGAATGCTGACGCATATCTATGTATATGTATGTATACATATATGTAGACACAGAGATGTGTATATTAATGTTGTACAAAAGTTATGTGTGCATGCATATGGAAAACTCCTATTGAATATGGAAAACCCCTATTGAGCCACACTTAACTATATTTCAATCCTACATATGGTATTGATCTGCTTTGGCTGGCTACATTTGTCTTCATGTGTGTGTGTGTATATATACATATATACGGACATGTGGGGGGAAGGGGCTACAAAGCTATATTACACTATATGTAGAGAAAGTGAATATCGCACTAGACTATATTAAGAGGAAGTAAACACACAACAAACTGATGAAGAAAGACAATGCTGAAACATGTGGGATTTGCCTGTGCCGCATCTGAAATATAGTCAAACCAGAACAAGCCCAAAAATGACACCTAAAAAACGAACAAACTAGAAAAACACCGAACAACATATTACATAAACAGTTTACATAGATGGTACCACAATTTCCGCGTGTGCCATACATACAAGCATTCGTTGCAAATAAGCAGCATGTCTGTAAGTCTGGCTTTAGTCATGTAGGCACCCATTTTTCTTAGGTATGTCCATGTGTGTGTGTTGACTGTTCTTAAAGGTGCTTCCCCAAATGCACGTGTGTGCAATGCTATAAAATATGCATGTAGAGATACGTCCACACAGACACATTGAGTGTTAAAGTTAACAGAACAGCATGGATTTGTCAATTGTGTCAACATGTCATATGGATACATGCGATACTGCATGTTAAGTATGCTCTTATGACAGCGCTGGTGCTACATATACATTATGAGATATTCATGTGTGTCTTTGCCGACAGATTCCACTGGTTTGGCTGCGTGGAATGAATGTATTACAAACAAAAGGCTACACATAAGTAAGTATATATATACATATATATATATATATGTGATTGCATTTTCGCATGTGCAAACAGTGCAAACATCTGCAGCACTCTTCAAGTGTCACCAAAGGCAACCAGGCAGATACGCGGATACGTAGTGGGCCTCTTGCATTAGGTGTAAAACATATATGTTAAAGATCCATGTCATGGCTTTACATGTAGATGTGCTGATGGATTCCATATTTGTAAACGATGAGTTTTCATTGAGTTGTGTCTACACCAACTGCAACCACTAGTTTTGGCTGCTTCCACAGCAGAAGACTACATGCATGAACATAACCAAAGGATTTGTCCTATCTGGCCGTTTTGTCACTGTGGTTGTTGTTATTGCTCCTGTTGTACTGTGAGCACATGATGAATAAGACTGTATCCACATAGGTTCCTAAGGTAAGAAAGCAGCAAATATGCAATAATTCGGTACAATAGAAAACATTTTCAATAAACTCGGCATGCCTTGCGCCCGTTTGCAGCTTCATATGCTGAGTCCCGGCAGAAGCTTCTGCGTGTCAATTCTTTGAGATAACTGTATGGTGTGTATATATATATATATATATATATATGTACGTATGTATGTGTGTATGTATGTATGTATGTATGTATGTATGTATGTATGTATGTATGTATGTATGTATGTGTGTATATGTGTACATATGTATGTGTATAAACATATACTGCTATAATATTACAGTTTCATTATGCAATAAAAGTTAGGTATGTTGTATTGTTTCATGCCATAATCTGCCGAAAGGCTCCACACACGACACGAAGATTCAAATCATGGAATGAACCAAATCTGGATGCAACACCACTGCCACAACATGCCTCCTACAAGTACTAGGCATATGCCATGCATCAAAGTATCCAGAAGGGCTTGGCAAGCACTGACGAAGCCAACCCACCAAAACAAGCACGAGCCGAATCCCCGCGTCCAGACATCCGAAATTGCAGATAAACCACACCACCCATCGAAAACTGAAATGTAGAGCTGTAGATCCACAAGCCCCACCCAGGACATCCAAAGCTTGATCCAGAGCTCTGCGCTGACGTTATAGACGGGCTTATAGCATAACACTAAGACGTTTGAGTTTCCCCTAGGAAAGCTAAGCACAATCGATGCAAAAGAGCGAAACCAACGGATCTTGAATCATGTCCTGAATATCAGAACTGAACTCTAACCTGTCTTATCGAGCCCTGCAATGAGCCCGTTCGGCTCCTCATCGAAGGTCTGCGCCCGACGTTGGGCCCAGTCAGCCTGCGCCTGGCAAAGTCGAGGCTGGAGCTTAGCGTCTAGTATATTTCGATACTACCATGCGGAAAAGGAGCACCGTGTACAAAATACTATGTTTGCACGATGCAGCTCCCTTGTTCTTCTGGGGCTGGGGACCCACAGGAGTGGGACTCTTATGCTAAACCCTGAACTCTCAACGCTGAGCTAGATTGGCTCGCTAAGCGCTCCTGGAATCTGTGCCAACATGCTTTCGACGGGGAATCCCTAAAAGGGACGTGCTCCACACTAGCCATGAAGGAACTGCCCAAACCTAAGGGGTCCGGATGCTCCACAACCTAGGCATATGGCACAGGGCTTACACTGGATAAAGGGATCCTTGATGTGGGATTAATTTTTTGGATTGTTTCCCTACGTCAGGTGATGCTGGGATCTCAGGGAAACCCACTAACCCCAATGCTCGCTGACATAATGTAGGGGCCTTAAAAATTAGAATAGGGTTTTGGGGTATAGTGTACTATAATTTTAATAAGGAACCCCCAAAATAATTAAGCCTCTCCCAGAGCTCGAAACCCCTGAATTTTCAACTCTGAAGGCCTCGATTCTCCCGTCACCAAGTCGTGCACCTGATACCCAATCTTCACAACGCCCGGGTGTTTGGCAATGCTTTACACATGCGAAGCTTTAAGCAAGCCCCCCCCCCCCCATATGAGAGTCCTGGAAAGAAAAAACCCAAGACGAATAAACCCTTAGTGAGAGGATCCGTGATGTGAGGACACTGAAAGAAGCGGCAGCCACCACTCACAAACTCCACATCTCACTACTACTCAAAGGAACCCTAAACAAAACTTTGTAACTGAAATAAAACCTCGTCACAACAGTTCTTGTGCCTTGTAATTGCACGCCTTATTGAACCAAGGCTAACGCATAACCCTTTCTCGAACCCGAAGATCCCGCTTAGCTCAGTGTGCCTTGTGAGCTCTTGTAGGCGAGGGCCCTTCCCAGGGCATCTCCGAGGAAGACTGTAGCGTCTCCCACTCGCTCTGGACCAAAAGGAACAACCTCTTGGCCTCAGGGAGACTCTCTTCTTCAATAGCCGGGCCCGAAAAAGTTGAATCTTTCAAGGATATATACCCCTAAACCCTAAACTCTAAACCGAATATATGAAGCCAAGAAAGAACGAGATTTTGGGGCTTTCGGCGTTTAGGCTTCAGGGTGTTTGGTTTGGGTGCTTAGGGTTATAAGTTATAGGGTTAAGGTCTTTGCGGGCCCAAGTTTTTCGGAGGGAGTTTCGGGTTCGCGGGTTTAGGGCATGTTTGAAGGTTTCGAGTGCAGGGCTCAAGGCTTCCAGACATGCAACACAGAAATGTTCAGAGTGCCTCTCCTTATTGCAAACAGGCAGACATAACTGACATAACTGTCCCGGTTCATGCGGTGTCACAGTCGGGGTCATAAGACATAGCTACTGTACATGCGCTCCTGCTAACAGCCAGTGCCCTACAGGCATACATCCTAAGTGCAGAAAGCTCAGGATGTCTGTCTGCCTCGGGCATATGAAACTAGAGTGTGTGAGATCGTGCTGCTAAGCCTCAGCCCCTACATGAAGCCTATACAACTCAAAGTGTCAAAGGAAGCTGCTTCGGCACTCAGGGCTCCTTTCACACACACACACGTGTCCCATCACATCGAAGCGCTTTCAAACATGTGACTTACCCTGCCAGGCACCCGAAAGAAACCCCAAACCCTAAACCCTAAACCGTACACTCCCGCTCGGCTGTAAGGGGAGAACAGCGGAGACTGTCACCGGAAAGCTTTCGGGGCTCCCTTTGCCTATGTGCTACTAATGCACTCAGCAAGGAACTCCACAAACTTTGCGAACTTCGGGGGCGGGACTGCGCGCAACGCGCCGTTCCGTGTGCTTTAGGGTTTTGGGTTCAGGGCTCAGGCTTTAGGGTTCAGGGACGGTTTAGGGTTTACGAGAAACGTCGCGAAGGAGGATTCTCTACACTCCAGCCTCCTGTCGACGTTCTTCCGGCTGCTTGTCCGGGTGAAGCTCCAGCTGAAGTGCTCGGATATGTGCCTGTGTCTTGCAATCGGGGCTGATGGACATGTAAGCCTAGCAGGTGAGAACGAGAGCGCTAGTGTGTGCTGTTGTTGAAGCTGAAACCTGAACCCCAAACCGTAGAACCTAAACCGTGTTAAGCGAGTAGTAGCAGTGGTGGCAAGGCCTCCAGAATCCTGACAGCTCTGAAACAAGCTCTTGCATGATGCATCCACGTATGCTGCAAGCCTCTCTTGAGATGAAACCCACCATTTAATTAAGAGCCTGCAGGATCAGACTTCTAGCCCAAATCCTTATGCTACACACCCTGTTGGGTTTAGGCTTCAGGGCTTAGGGTTTTAGGGTAAACCCTAAACTCTGAACCCTGACCTGGACCCCTAAACTCTAAACTTCCAGCCTCAACCAAGAGTCTTCTATATGCGCAGATGCATATGCTAGAATAATCAGAGGCCTGTGCGTGTATGCGTCAAACTGTGTTCAAAACAACGACTCGAAGGTATCCCAAATCCTACTACTAAACCCCAAACCTTAAACCCCAAAACCCTTTAAGCCTCAACCCTAAGCCCCTAAACCCTAAACCCTAAACCCTAAACCCTAAACCCTAAACCCTAAACCCTAAACCCCTGAACCTGACTCACAGGTCGGCTCCTTCCGTGCGCTGGTGGAGAGGCCGCGGAGTCCCCGTAGCTCCTCAGGGGCACCCAGGACTTTAGAAGGTTTAGGGTTTAGGGTTTAGGGTTTAGGGTTTAGGGTTTAGGGTTT